CCCCCCCCTCCCCACCTTCCGTTCCTCACTGGTCAACATGCAATTAAAACGTTTCAATCAAACCATTCTATATTATAGAAATACCGTACAAGTTTTGAGTCCCAGTGAGGTCATTACTGTGTCTACTGCTCTTAGCCCGGAGTCTGGTGGGTCGGGCCGGTAGGCTCCTCTATACGGCACATCATTTGGTCTTGGATCTTTATGTACGCAAGAACACATCCAAGGAATGAACTCGGGGGAGTAGCCCCTGCACTGGAAAGTGTTCCAGGACCTGTGTCACGGGCGGAGGACACCAGATGATGAACTCCTAAATTCCGCCGGCAGGTATCAATGTGATGGCCGCGCATGCGCAATGACATCACGCGAGGTGTCACCTGGTATCTGCTCCGGGTGACACCCGGCCTCAGGATGCCCATGACTGTTCTATGCCTTTCCTCCCCTAAAACTTGCTTCTCTCCTGCTGCACAGGATCAAAATAGAGGGCATTCCATTGATCCTCTTTGCTCTGGTCTGGCCGCGGTGGATGTGGTATGCTGACCTAGTAAGACTGCTGGTAGACGCTCGGTGGGATTTGCCAGATCATCAGGATCTTCTGTCTCGAGGACTGATTTACCACCCTGCTGCTGTTAGGCCCAGATTTTGAGAGACAGCCATACATACGAATTTTCGATTCCTATAATGCTAAAACCTAGGAAGGATACTTCCCACAAGGTCCATCATTGGACGTGGAAGGCATACGTTCCTTAGTGTGAGCCTCAGGGTTTATGCCGAGGAGTTCCTTGGTGGGACAAATCCTCTCCTTCCTGTAGCTGGGTCTGGACCAGTATTTGGCTCTCGGTACTCAATGGTCACAGTTCTGTCCTTTCAGTTTTGTTTTAAAGACGGTTGGGCTCTCACTCTTTCAAGAAGACCATGGTCTCCCGTGTAGCTTTCCCTGTGACTCTGTGAGATCTGAATCTTGTTCTCTATGCACTTCAGGAACAGTTTACTGAATCCATCAGAGACATTCCCCCTCCTCTACTCTTCCACACACAGTGGTATATCTTGTCATCACGTCTGTGAGGCAAGTATGTGAACTGAGGGCCCTATCCTGCAAGGAACCCTTCCTGGTTTTTGGGACAAAGCGCTGTTAAGGCCTAAGAGTTCCTTCTTACCTACGGTTGTTTCTGCTTTTTACCTAAAGCAGGAAATCGTTCGCCTTCCCTCTGTCTGGCTCTAGTTTATCCAATGGAAATGTCCCTCCATTTTCTGGGTGTGGTTCGGGCTGTGAGATAGGTACTGCATCTTTCAAATCTGATTCTTTTATTTTTACCATTTTGGATAGACCCTGAATGGGTGCTTTAGCGTCTCGTTCTGCCAATTCTAGGTGGCTCAGGCAGACCATCATCCAAGCTTATGGTCCCAAGGATTGGTTTCCACCTTTCCCTGTGAGTGTTTTGTACATTCCACTAGATCCGTGAGTGCTTCATGGAGTTTTTTGTATCAAGCTGATTTGCCTGGATGTCACCTGGTCGTCTGTTAAGAGGTTCTACGAGTGGACGTTGAGGCCTCACCTGATGCCAGCTTAAAGGTCCTTCAGGTGGCTCTTTAAGCTATAGACAATCCCCCCGTTCCTGTTCTTGTTTTTTTTAGGCCTAGTGGCATGTGTTTGCAGTGTTGCTTCACTTAGTTCAGATGGACTACTTTGGGACGTCCAGAAGGTGAAAGACCTCATGTGTCTCTCAATAGACAAGAGGGAAAATAGGATTTTTAAATCTTATATAAACCTTTGAACCCCACACATGTTCATTACCATACACCAGATGGGACGGAGAAGCACATGGAAACGAAAATGACTCTAGGTAATTGAATGCTTTTCATGGGACACATGGGAAGGAAGTTCTGAACAACAAGGTTTATTGGTTCACAAAGATGAAGAGGTACCAAAGGTTCTTTAAATCTCAGCTAAGGTATAAACTGCTGCATCTACCCATAGTGTGTCAAAAGGATGTTGTATAAGGACCAACTGGTTGCCCTGGATATTTTTTGGAGGAACTCTAGCTTATTCTACCACAGACAAATAGATGGCTCCTATGGATCTGAGTGATTACTTGAGGAGGCAAGCACTTCTGGCTCCTAGCCACATCAGGTATATTACCAATGCCAATTCCTTTGTGATG